CTAGTAATTCCCATCAGCACAGCTGCAGGGAGTATATATGGATGTTTCTAAGTAATATACACTTAGGAAAAAAAAGTCACCCTCACTAGGAATATTTGTGGAACTGGGACAGTTTTTACAATGAATGCAGCCATCAACACACAAATGAATCTTGAATTGGCTGATTAGCTGGGGCACTCTGACTGCAGGTCTTGTCTATCATCCTACTTCCCATCACACAGCCCTCACCATCACTAAGGAGCTGGTAGGACAGTGGCAAACAGCTACTCCAAGTCTATCTCCCCCACTGCCAGTCCTATCAGTACCAAAACAATCCTAATGGTTCTCAAACACCTTAAGGGCTTGTCCCCCAGAACAGCAGTTCTCAGAGTCTGGCTGCACAGCCCATGCAGCACAGAGCTGCTCTCCTGGCAATCTGGAGAACAAGAAATGGAAAAGGAGATGGAGCACTGAAGAGACACTTACTCTTTCTCTTTGCTTTCTTTTTCCACCTGAGTGAGACAATCCCAGTTTTCCTCCTGCTTCTTCCTGCACATCACAAGGACAGTGTCTGTCTTTATCTGCATGGAGAACAGCCAGGCATGAAGTCAGAATGCTTCATGAAGGGATGCTGGTCACAAGCACAACTAGTAAAGTTACCTGATGAACACAAATATTTTTCTATCCTCTCAAATTCTGAAACATTTATCTCAGCTACTGATTATTATGCAGCATACAAAAATTATAACACGTACTCACCTTCAGAGTACAAAGCAGTAACCTCACTGTGGACAATTCAAATGGCATGATTAACATAATACTACTAGAGGACTAAAGCACTAATACAGAAGAGCATACAGTGCTGCAGGAACACCATCCAGTGACTCTCAGGATGCCAAGAAGTACCCAGCACCACTGGGTAAAGGGTGGCTGTACCGACCAGACTCCTCCAAGAACAACAAGTTCAGGTTTCACCAAGGATTCAAAACTAGTTTGAGGGCATTGCTTAATCTTGCAGGATGTCTGCAAGTCACAAGCCAAGCCTGTGTCATCACAATCCTGACCTGAATTCTGGAAAGATCCCCCGTGTGCCACAGCAGACAAAGCCCAGCTTTGCACCTGCGCGACCAGCGCTCGCTGTCGCGCTGTGCTTAAAAATCACCAGAGCACCACCCCAGCTTATGTCAGTTGTTTTGATTCTACACTGTCCTAGTTTCAGGGAAATGGCAAATTGAACAATCACTTCCTCACATCTGATGTCACTAAGCACAGCACAGAGGGTGTTTGAGACATCCTTAAGTCCAGGGAGGTGCTACAGGTAGCACAGTAAGGACGTTGCCACCAGTCCTGGCCATCAGCAGTGAAGTGTTACCAGTGTTCAGCTCTGGAGCAACACACCCTGAGAAATGCAGAGCAGGTTTTAGACTTGGCTTTGGGTACTAAGCCTGCCTAAGCTTCCCAGGATTTCTGCCTGCTGACAGTTCTCTTAGATCTTAAAGCTGCAAAGAATTTCTCAGAGGTATTTAAAAGCTCAGAGGCATTTTCTGCTTCATCATCTCTGGACTCCTGTTGGAGAGCTATTAAAACAGTGTGCAACATCCAAACATCATCTTTGGAAACAGAAGACTGTGTGGATTGCAGAAGATGATTCCACAGTTATGACAACTGCAGATTAACAAAAAAGAGGCTTTACCAAAAGGAGGGAGGGGCTGCAGGTGAGCAGTGATTCTCTTGAACTAGTCAGACAACGCACAGGGTGCTTTGTGGGGGACCTAAACACCTCCAACAGCCAAGGTGCACTGACCTTCTTAGAGCTGCCTTCCACAGAGATGGGCTTCAGGAGGTTGTTGAAGGTCATGGTGTAGTTCTTCCCATTCAGATTCTTCACAAGCAGATCGAAGGACCTGGAACCAGAAAGCAGGGGAAGAAGGTGGTAAATATTCCAATCATTGTAAGGATATTGTGCCCTGCCACCAAAAAGAATGTCTGGAGGCCCTTTCAGCAGCAGGGAAAATGCATCAACAGGGCCTGAACTACTTTCTTCCCAGGGCTCTCGAATCTTCTGTTGGATTTAATGCTGAAGACTTAAAAAGAATCTGTTCAGACTTCACCACAAATCAAGATCTTGAAGATTCTTTCTGCCTGCCTGATCTCCTACAGCCTTGGAAAGGCAGATGTGCATAACCTGCCTCTCAGTTCTATCACCACCAAAACCCAGGGCTAACACTGTGAACCCTGCCAAGCCTAAGGAGGTGCAACCAGCGTTTGTAAAATGCCCCAATACCCTCCGAGAGAAGCTACTTATGCCAAGAGCTACTAAAAGCTCATACAGCTGAAGTTTTAAAAAAGGGCTGGGGGAGGTAAGAGCTGCACCAGGAGGGAACTCAGCAGAACACATTCCTGCATTTCAGGCTGTTCCTCTGTCCCCTGCAGCCTGGTGCAACAACATGAACTCACCTCTCGGTGAAATTCACCACCACGTTCTCAGCTGGAAGCTTCTGGACTCCATTTAAAGAGATGTAAATCTTAATGAACTTGTCTGACTGATCCCAACCTGCCAATGGAAGGAAAGAAAGGAAAGGAAAGGAAAGGAAAGGAAAGGAAAGGAAAGGAAGGGAAAGGAAGGGAAAGGAAGGGAAAGGAAGGGAAAGGAAGGGAAAGGAAGGGAAAGGAAGGGAAAGGAAGGGAAAGGAAGGGAAAGGAAGGGAAAGGAAGGGAAAGGAAGGGAAAGGAAGGGAAAGGAAGGGAAAGGAAGGGAAAGGAAAGGAAAGGAAAGGAAAGGAAAGGAAAGGAAAGGAAAGGAAAGGAAAGGAAAGGAAAGGAAAGGAAAGGAAAGGAAAGGAAGGGAAAGGAAGGGAAAGGAAGGGAAAGGAAGGGAAAGGAAGGGAAAGGAAGGGAAAGGAAGGGAAAGGAAGGGAAAGGAAGGGAAAGGAAGGGAAAGGAAAGGAAAGGAAAGGAAAGGAAAGGAAAGGAAAGGAAAGGAAAGGAAAGGAAAGGAAAGGAAAGGAAAGGAAAGGAAAGGAAAAGGGGAAAAGGGGGGGAAAAAAAAGGGGAAAAAAAAAGGGGAAAAAAAGGGGGGAAAAAAGGGGGGAAAAAGGGGGAAAAGGGGGGGAAAAGGGTAAAAGGGAAAAAGGAAAAGGGGAAGGGGAAATGGGAAATGGGAAAGGGGAAAGGATAAAGGGAAAAGGAAAAAGGGAAAAAGGAAATGGGGAAAGGGGAAAGGGAAAGGGGGAAAAGGAAAGGGAAAGAAGGAAAGGAATTTTTGTTAACATTGTTTTTCTATGGAAAAAAAAAAGTCCACATAAATAATATAGGATTTTAGACAGGAAGTTTGCTGGCTTAAGAGTATAAACTCAGATTGTTCCTTCTATTTCCAAAAGAGAAGGAATTGTCTGTCTCGCTCTTGTTCTTGTGCTCTCTTGTTGTCTTTCACCCCTCTCTCTTTCTCTTTGTCCCTTCCTTTCCTTGGTTATTTTGTATAGGTAAGAGAGGGAGGAAAAAAAAAAAAAAAAGAAGAAAAAAAGAAACCCAACCTGCCAATGAAGGAAAAAAAAAAAAAAAGAGATCAAGTTGTAGTTTTCCTCCACAAAGTTCACACCTTGCATTCCAGCTCCCCCTGCAGTGACCAGGATCTGTCTCACTGGAACGATCTGCAGAGGGGAAAGGGAAAGCAGTGAATGATTCAGGAATCACTTGAGAGCAGAAGGAGGTTTTCACATGTTGCCCTGTACCCCAGTCCCTGCAAATTCTAAGAGAAAACACGTATCAGGTCGGGTAAAAGGGCAGTGGGAGGGAACTGTCTGCCTTTGCTGCAGTTTCCCTGACCCACTTTCACCCCTGCTCCCTGCACACCAAGTATCTCCAGCAATTCCCTCTCCTCTCAGCTACCTGGCAAGCTGAGAAGCCACAGCTCACCCTTCCACTCCTGCTGGGAACCAGGCAGTGAAAAACCCCCAGTGGGCACAGGGAGGCTCTTTGATGCATCCCCTCAGTGCTATCCCACACAGAATGACCACACCCCCGGGCTGGGATGCACAGGATCCGTGCAGAGGAGCCTGCAGCAGGATCTCCAGCAGGAAATCAGCACTTAGGGAGGCTTTTCTGCAGCGCTGAGGGGCCACAGTCACTCACACGGAT